ATTATATTATATTATCTTAATTGTTCGATGATGAATTTCTTGATACAAGAGATTATTTTTTATTTAAAAATCTTTTTTTTATTGAGTATAGTTTAAACTTTTTTTTTAAAAAAAAAACCTTTATAAAATATTAGGATAAAGTATCAATTTAATTTTTCAACTTTTAAATTTATGTTAAAATTGTTTTTTAACTTTAAAAATATTAAAATTGTCCTTAAATTTTAATTTTTGATATCAAAATAATTTTTTCGTAAATAAAAGTAACATATGACTTGTTATTTTATCAGAAAATCAATTATTTTTTAAAATATTAATTATGTGTAAAATCAAACAGTCACGTCTTGACGTCAAAACATAATTTTATTTACTTATCAAATGTAATTAAAGTTAAAATATCAAATAAGTATTCATAATTAAAGTTAAAAATTAAGTTGGTACTTAGTTTTAAAATTTAAGGTCTAAGTTAATACTTATTTTTAAAATTCAAAAACTATCTTGATACCAAAAATTCAAATTCAGGATAATTTTAATACTTTTGAAATTGAAGGACAATTTTAATATAAATATAAAAATTATGGAACTAAATTAATGTTTTAACCGAAATATTATGCCTCATCAAGTAAATAGGGTTACATTTAAAAAAAAAAAAAAAGGAAAAACAAAAATAGAGTAAAAATAGGGTTACAAAATTATAGATTGTAATCCATGTCATACATGCCCATGACTGTTCTACACACGAGGGATTCCTGATGTCTCTCGATTACATTAACAGTATTTTTCTATAATGATTTATTTTTATTTGTGTGCATGCCAGGACATGGAATCCCTTTTCCCCCCAATTGCAAATCTTTATCTTTTGGATTACATCAAGAAATTTGAAAACAAAAGGAAAAGCTAAAGCAACTTTTAACCACAATTGCCTAGTGTCTTTACAGAGTTACTAATACCAGACAAATTCCTAACTAATCATGATATCATTTAATTCTTAAATATGTAAAGTCTTTCATTGAGGAATATCAGAGTCACCCTTTTCGAAATAATGAAGTGGGAATGTCTGTTTTCTTTAAGCAAAGTTTATGGAGTAGCAATGATGGTGTAATGCAGATTGAGATATATATTGGGGTCAAAATTTGCTACTTTTGCATTATTGGGAAACATTGAGCTGGGTTTTTGTACTTAGCAGGCCCTCAAAATAGTGGAAAAAAGCAAATTTCAATTATGCAGCAGCCATCCACTCATTCATGATAGAACTCTTCGGGTTTAACTACGTTAAAATGTAGAGATTTGGAGTTTAAGCCATGATGACACTCAAATTAGGTGAGAAATGGAAAGGAGATTGGTTTCCGTTGCTTACTTCATCAATAGAAAATACATATATCATGCAACGGTCAATTCCTCTTGATCAATATCTCCTCCATTTTTTATGAGGGAAAATTTTCCTCCATTTTGATTAAATTTTCATTTTCATTACATCTGATTTGATCCAAAAGGGTCAGTTTTGAAAAAAGTTTCACTAAACTTTAGCAACAGACATAACTGGCCCCTCCCCTCAATTCCCTCCACTAACTACACCTAAAAGGAGACATTAACAAAATCTTAACCCATCTGCCTTTTCCCCTAACCCCACTTTGTTTCTTGCCTTTCTCTTGCTCATGCAAAACATGATACAGTTTTTTGGTTTAGGTATCATTCCAAGAAGCAAACACCGGCAAGTGAGCTGCCATGGAGATTGCAGCTGAAGGCCTTAACTGGGCTGTTGGGAACCAGGAACTGACGCCTGGGGAGGGGCAGATGAACTTTGAAGCTAGTGGAGGCTTGGCAAAGAGCATAGTGGAGCCGGTTTTATCAGGGCTGCCTTCCCTTGAACTGCTTAGACTTGTCACCAAGGAAGAAGGGTTTGAAAATTGAGTTCCTAGTTGCTTAGTGGATTCATCGACAACTGCCTGGCTAGAGTTAACTGAATCAATCCCCATGAGATCCTGCAGTGCCATTGAGAAACTCGCATTCCGATAATTTCCATTCCCTAAAGATTTCTGATCCATAGATTCAACAGAACCAACATTTGGCTGTTGTTCCTGAGGTGATTGATACGAGGCCATTTTCCAATCTGAACCATTCCCATTGTTACTTTCAGACTGAATAGCTTCCCCATTGTTCTGTGATGGTGTACTGTACTTAACAACCTCATTGGTCGATTCTGCCTCCTTGTTTCTCCGAGCAAGCTCCCCTGCAAGCAACGAATTGCTTGCCATAATCTTCTCAACATCATACCTTGTAATGTCAAAATTAGTCACAGCATTCACACCACGAAACTTGATCGCGGCAATGTCATAGGCCTCAGCTGCCTCCTCTTGGGTGCCTGTAAGATAGCCAATTCAAAAACAGCTTTAGTTAACCATTTTTTGTGCATGAAATTCTCTTCCTTTCCCATCTTCTTTATCAGATGTGCAGAGAAAGCAGCCTTAAAAAAAGTTCATTCCTAGTGAAATCAGAAACGTACAGTATCAAAATAGCCACCACCATCAGCCTTATAAAAAGCAGTTTGCCAATCTTTAGTGGAAACACAAAGTGCAGAGATGTGTCATAAAAATTGAGTCTTTCAAAAATTCTTTAAATCCACACGGAAAAGCCAAAGAAAATTTTCAAAGTGAAATAGAAATGACAAAGAAAACTCACTAAATGTGCCCAGATAAAGGTCCTTGTTCCCTGCTACCCTGCCAATTCTAGCTTGCCATCTCCCATGCTGATGATGCCTACAATAAAACGAAAAATAGAAATGCTATTAAAAAAAAGTACGGGAAAAAAAAAATGTGATTGTTTTAGGTGTTGAAAAATGCAAATGAAGAACCTTGTAACCCCTCTGTATATTGAGGCTCCTCTGGAGAACCCACTGCTTTTCCTGAAAATCGAACCAATATTAGGCTATATAGCCCCAAATTAATCAAGAGACAAACGAAACATACCTCATTGCTCATGGAAACTAACCTCCTTAGATGGGCAACATATTCCTGGCGGTTCATGTTCTTCATTTCTTCCAATTCTTCTCTATAATTTTCCAACTATTTAAAAGCATTGAATACCTTGATCAATAATTCGAGTAACATAATAATCCAGAAACCAATTATATGAAATTAGTGTTTGGCATACCGGAAAATTTATGTGAGTTGAAGGCCCCCAGTATTTGAGGGCAGCAAGATCATAAGCTCGAGCAGCTTTGTCCTCCATATCATAACCCCCTAAAAAATTTTAACTTTTTTAGATCAGAAAACAGGATTTACTTATGAACCGTTTTCAATTTATTAAAGAGAAGAGGAAAGCTTACCCAGATAAACTGAAATATCATCAGTTTTGATTGAAATGGCATCCACAAGAATTCAACACGACAAGAAAGAATTAATAACGAGGTCAGGATATACAACACATGTTCAAAAGAAAAAAATGTAGAAAAGAAGAATACTGCCAAAATGTATTTTTCATCTCTTACAAACCTTGTCTCCCTTTTCTGGTTTGCCCTTCTTTCTTGCAACTGTTATCCCACAGATGAGCTTCATATCTTCCCGTCCATCTATGTCTGTTACCGGAATTCCGACAAAATATTTACTTGAATAAATATTCAGGAGAATCAAAAGGAACATAAAACAAATCCCAGAAAAGTACCGACCTTGTGACGCCTCTATATTGAGATGTTCTCTGACCAAATGTGTCAATAGATTTCCTATGAACAGGCTGTTTCTGACCCGTTTTTCCGACCATTCTCTTCTTCGTTTCCACGGCGGAGCATTCAGCGGCAGTGGGTGAGATCTGCCGTGGAGCAGTGACGCAGCTAGACTGAGAGCCAGGGCTCATTGATAAACTCAGGGACTGTAAATCCCCACAACCCATTGCACTCATAGAGCCAGAACCTCCGCCGTCTTCGATCATGCCATTGTTCATCTGCTGCTCTAAGGGAGTATGAGGAGAGAAGTGCCTGTTAACCCAGTTTTTCAAGCAAGGCATTGCATCTTCCCCCATTTGAGGGATTTGGGAGTCGCAGTCTGTGAGTTCGACATTCTTGGTCTCATCCTCCAATGGAGCCTGGTACATCTGGCAAGCCAGGCCGGAATAATACATGCTGCCAGAATGGTTTTGAAGGGAGAAAGTTGGGTCTTGCCCCCGAAATGGTTCTTGAAGAAGGTCCAGGGAATGATGCCGGTTGGTTTCCTGCTCTGCATTTTGGTGATAATACATACTGTCTAAGCTCAGAGCCATTGTTTCTCTCCCATGGCTTTCATATTGATGAGCTCCCATTGTTGCACCACCAAGAAAATCCTCTAGTTTTGGGGATGAATTTTGCACAATCCCTTGAAATAGGAAAAAAAATGATTTTGAAAATCTTAAAACAGAGATCGAAAGCAGAGGAACTCAAGTACCCGGAAAAAAAATGAAACAGAACAAACCTTCTGTTTGTGATCTAGTGAAAGCTTCCATGATGCAAAGAGACCCATCTGACTTTAATGGCATAACAGACAATGGAGCATGAAAGCTTTCATTTTCTCCTACACCATAACAGATTCCAGTGCTGTTGAGGTGAGAAGAGAGGTAGAAGCTGGCAGGAACAGCAGCAGCAGGGGAAGCTGGGTGTTGCTGATGATGGTTAGTAGGGATCTCCATTTTCATGTGAGGTGATAAAGAAAAACCCAACCAAGTATTACTGCTGCCACTGTTACTATCATTCAAAGTCTTCATCTTCTCCCACTCTCTCTTACTTTTTATTACTTACAGAAATTTTTTTAGCAGGGGGAATCAATCATTGAGGAGAAAATAAGCTAATCATACCAAAATCCATTGCACCCCTCAACTTGAAAACACGGTTTCTTTTGTTCCCTACGAAGAACAAATACTCTTTTATCTATGCAACTTTCTATCTCTTTCTCACACACACAAACAGAGAAATACAATTCTGTTCTTTTCAAACTAAACAGAACGAATGAATACCAGCAAACAATGCTGCGGAGCTCCCATTCATTCCATAGGGATCTGTGTGTATATGAGAAAGACCACAACTTTATCTTATCCTCTCTCTCTTTTCCCTCTTCCTGTAAGTACTTAACCCCTTAAACCCTACAGAAAAACCTAGATCAAAAAACCCATAAGACCATTATCAAGAAAACCCAGAAAAACCAACTTCTGAAACGAGAGAAGATTGAATTAAAGTGAGAATAAATCTAGCGGGTGTGTGAAATAGGCCATAGGGTCAGGTAACCAAAACTGGTTAGCTTTATTTTTACAGGGGCAGGGTCTAAGATTGGTTTGAAAGGCAGGACATCTGCCCCTCCAGTCACTTCATACGGTACAGCCTTCTGGGCCACTCTGCAACTCCAAAAGAGGCATTCAATTTAAATCTAAACTAATGACTAATGTCAACTTTAAGCACTGCTTCAATTTGGTTCACAGAATTTTATTTCAAGAGATTCTGTTTTATACACTAAAATTGTATTTTAAAAGAGTAATTTAAAATTAATAATTATTGATCTGGTTAAAAAAAATTTTAATTTTTTAAAATAAAATATTAAATTTAAATTTTGTAAATAAAAAAATAAATATTAAAAGAACT